ACGTTTAGATTGAATGGTAATTTATAATCAGTCACAAGAACGTCGAATCTGAATCACTTGAAAAAAACACGGGGGTGCTTAACTTTTTTCCAGGTGTATATATGTTAGCTTTTTGAGACGGAAGTAATTAAACTAGTTGATAGTAATTTAATCATAAAAATATTGATTACACTACATAACAATGGATGTGTAAGGTCGTCAAAAAATTGTCCCTTTTTTTTTTATGAAAACCCAGAACAATTTGTATATCAAAACAAAACATTTATTAAATTAAATAGTCTCCATTCTTATCAATGATGCTATTCCATCTTACAATCAGGTTGTTAATGTCCTGATTAAAGAAATCACTTGGCTTTGAAGCAAAAAAACATGTTGATCTCCTCTTTAACACCTTCCACATTTGCATACGTTTTCCCATTAAGATGGTGTTGCAGCTAACGAAAAAAAATGGTAATGTGATGGTGCCATATCTGGAGAATATGGTGGGTGGGGGGAGAACTTCCCAACTCTATAATCTTGTGTTGCGTAAACGTGCCACATGTGGACTTGCATTGTCGTGGAGAAGAACACCTTTCCGATTGACGAGTGAAGGGCGTTTCTGATGAAGGGCTTGCTGACTATAGATCTCTGCATTGACAGTTCGTTGTGGATTGTGGAGTTCGAAATGAATAACTCATTTGATGTAAAGCATCGCTTTCTGCGGATGGAGTCCAGGTTTTGGGGTCGGAAGTGGTTTTTTGTCTAGGACTGAGCCATTGTTTTTGACGTTTTTCATCATCCTGACAATTCTGTCCAAAAATGGTTCACGCGCCAGAAGAGACGAGGCAACGTTCACACGTTGGAAACGATTATCATAGGAGAGTTCGTGAGGCACCCCAAACGCATTCTTTAAGGAGTTTTCCATATTCCTTAGATGTTTATGTATTGTTTCATGAAAGACGTGCCATTTCACGAGTGTGTTGTCTTGGGTTAAACTCAACAAGCGTCTTCAGAATATCAATTCCAACATGTCGGCCCCTGCCATCACAGTTTTTAAGGCTAAAGTCACCTGAACGAAATTTGCTGAACCATCGTTGACACTTACGAACGTTCAAAACATTTCCACACACTTCTTTGGTATTCTTTGTGGCTACAGAGGCGTTGTTTCCCCTCTTGTATTCAAAGAACATTAATTACATGCCGAATGTGTGTCTGGTCGTATGCCATCACTATAAGGGATTAGAGTATACTAAACTTTACACATTATATAGGCTACACTAAAGTGACGTTTAGGTGGCTCGTTTAACTATTATAC